TTCCTCGTTCTCTGCCCCGGCGTTAGGTCACTCTTTTGGCCGGCCCGTTATGTCCCGGGCCGGTCTTCCCCAATCAGACTTCAACTCCTTGTCTCATTTCGGGTCATTTTCGTTCTCCATAACAGATTTTATTGATAAATTATTATTTTTCGAAACTTTATGAAGAATACCAATTTTTAAATTAAGAAGGTACAGTATTTAAAAAAAAAAGGAATTGGGTGACTTTAAATTTAAAGTTAAATAGTGAATTTGAGCATAGCTCAATTAAGGTTGAAGGTGCACTAAAAAAATAATTTAAATAAATTGAATTCCTAGCATTATCTTTATTTTTTATTTTTATTTTATTTATCCACAAAAATTCATGCAATTATCTTTACTGACTTTTTCCCTTTTTTTTCGCGATCACATAAATAAGGAAAATGTTATCCTTACTAAAATAAATAAATAAATAAACCCAACAACTCTCTTTTTTAAGAAGAAAAACGCAATACAGTTTATGACTCAAAAAATTTGACTCCAACTTCATTTTAGTCCTAAAATTTGAAATTCTAACATTTTCAATACTGAGGTTTCAAAAACGTTTTTCTAGTCTCTGCTGTCCGTTTTTTTTACGTTATTGCAACACTAAAACGCGTAGAAGATAGATCGTTATTTTATTATTATTTTTTTTAACTGACATGGCATTAATGTATCAGTTATATATTTTTCTGCTGTAGACGTGAAAATAATATTTAATTAAGAAAAAAAAATATTTTTGGTCCATGGAATTATAACTAAATATCTACTTGGTTCATCAAATTTTAAAATAGACACTTTTGATCCATGAATTTTGAGAAATGATTTTAAATGGTCGTTGAGCTCTTTGATCGTTAGTTGATCTAACAGAATGCTTACGTGGTACTTAACATCATTGTTGACTATGATTACGTGACCATTTTAAATTAAGTGGCAAAATACATTAATTTTATTTTGGATTGATAGTTGACGTAGTGCTATCTTCTACCTTCTCCTTTCCTTTTCCTTCTTCTTCCTTCTTCTCTAGTAGACCTTGCCTTCGAGCTATCGCCGTCCGATGACACTTGCTTCGCCACCATCTGTCTCCCACTCTTGTCGGAAAATGAGGAAGGAGAAGAAGAAAGAGAAAAGGAAGGAGAAGAAGTCCAATCACCATAAAATATTATTAAATTAACAAATTTTACCAAATTAGTCATTAAACTAACTAAATTATTAGTCACATCATCTTAAAGTTATTCAACTACCAGTCAACAATTTAGAATTATTTTACAAATTTGAATGACAAAAAATGTTCCAATTGAAACTTTAAAGATCAAATAGACACTTAATTCAAATTTTAGGACCAAAAATAGTACTATGTCCTACTTTTTAAATTAATAAACCCGTAAATTCATTGAGAGATAGTTGAAAGGATTTTGTAATTTCATTTTTTTGGAGGAGAAACCAAAAAACCAAAATTTATCCTTAAACTCGGTACAATAAATCAATTTTTATCCTAAGGTTTTAATTTCATCAAATTGATTCTTAAATTTGTATTAATGTTGCAATTAAGAGTTGAAATGTATTAGTGGTTCTTGTTTTAACATTAATAAATGCATTTATAATGAGGAAGAGTGAGAGTTGAAAACACTTTTTACATTAATAACCCGTTAATTTTATTGAGAGAAAGAGTTGGAAAGATTCTGTAATTTCAATATATATATATATTTTTTGGAAATTTTCAAGAAACCAAAATTTATCTTCAACTTGGTATCGATTTTTATTCCAAGCTTTAACTTTCATAGATAAATGTTGCAATTTTTAGCTTTTGTTAAGTGTTTTTTTCCTTTTCCTTTTTTTTTCTGGGTTCTAAGAATCATTAGAAAAAAACACTTTCAAGTTTGTTAAATGGGTTCAAAGAAGGACGACCTCGAAACTAGATTTTTGTTTGATTTTTTTTTTAAGTTTTGAGAATTTAATTTATTAAATTATTGAATCTTGTGCATAATTTATGAAATTTTGATTTTTTTAATACAATATGTGGGGCGGGGGAATCGAACTCACGACCTTTTGGTTGAAGATATGTGTCAATTATCGCTCTTTAGCTTTATTAAATTTTGGTTTTATGAATGGATCGGTTAAAGTTTAATTTTTCATTAGAACTAGTAAGCACTAATGTGGTTCCGTTTTTTTTTTAAACGTTGGAAATATCTTTAGTAGTAAGGTTCAAAAGAATTAAATTGAATATAGCCAATGAAAAGTAAAGTTTGTTATTATTTGTAAAAAAATTTACAAAAATTACACTATTATAAGGAAAAAAAGATAAAACAATAAAACTATTGTCAAAAAAAAAAAGATAAAACAATAAAATGAACAATATAAATGCTTCTTTTTTTTTTTAGATAAATGATATGAGTATATCGTAGAGTTCAAATAATTCATACCATAAAACTCAATTAATAAATTTAAAAGTATGTAATTAAAGTTTATTTTGTTTAGCAAGATACAATAAAATAGACAAGAAAAAAGTCAAAACATCTACGGGCCAATATTAAAATGAATTATTAAATGAGGGACATAAAGATAATTGGAAAATACTATGTGGTCTTAGTTATTTATGAATTGTTGGATAACTAAATGCTTATCAAAATTTAGAGACAAAGCTGTAAAGGCAATTTTTAAAAATTTAGTAAAGAATACGTGAAGCTTATAGTTTTATTTTAAACTATGAAAAATATAAAAACTATTGATTTCAACATATTATTATTATATGAATATTTTAGAAATTCAATTTATATTATATTAATTTTCTATAATATAAAATATTGATTTAAACCTGTTATGTGAATATTTTAGATATTCATTTTATATTATATGAATATTTTTTTTATTGAAATTTAAATCAACACATACAATATTGTCTAATATTGGATTAGATATTACATTTTATCGTGATTAAACCATATTATTTAATTAAAAATTTCATATCAATTAATTAAATAAGAATGATTCCAAAAATATTAAAATATTTATTTACTTCCCATCCTTTGAAATTGAATTTTTATTGTAATTATAATTAAAGAAGAAATGGTAATTAATTATTCAACAATGTGACATTGGATTTAAACATTTTTTATTTAAATTAAATAGGTTAACACTCACCTGTGTTGCATGTAATTTTTGTATGATCATCTTTTATGGATAAAACTAATTATCTATTAATTCCTAAGCATGACTCTAATAAGAAAGTGAAATATTTAGTTCATCAACTCTTGCCAAAATATGAAAACTTTGGAATATTATTTTCGGGACTAGAGTGAAACACATTTTTACCACAAGCTTTTAGTAATATGGTTGTGATCTATCAATTACGCGAGACTATCTACACTGTAGAAAGGAAAAAAGAAAGAGCAAATTTGCTTATAAATATGAAAAAAAAGAGTTGTCTCGCACCCTAAGTATTATATTCTCTACCTACCCACATGTATCAGTTCAGAATAACTTCGCGAGAGGACAATAGAATAGTTGGAAAAAAGTCTTGTCCCGCCTACGAAAAGTCAAAATGGAAGTTGATCAGTTTTGAGTAAATGGATACTCTAAAATAGAACGAGAAATATAGAATTATCCATGAAGTTCTGAAAAATCCAAACATCTTAAGAGAATGGTTCTAGAATTCGATAGAATCCAAGATATGAATAATTGGTTTACATTAGGGAAGAAATACATATATATGTTATATTAGATAAAGTCTAACTCGATTATTTAATCAATGAAAAGAATACATATTTTATTAATCTAGATAACTAATAAATAAAAGCGCTACCGTTCACTGGGGCTTTGATTGTCGGCTCCCCTCTCGTCAGGCCACCAATTTCTCGCTTCTATGAATAGTTCATAATGCTGCATCTCTCCAGAGACCTGGGCTACTAGATAAATCCAATTTTTAGTTCCTGAATGAGCTACTCCTATGTGAATAAGATATATTTATGTATATATCAAAATTCCTATTTATTACTAAATGGACACATCAATTCCCCTTTTATTTCGGATGGGAGCGTGGACTACACCCAAAATTCCAAGCTTATCATGTTACTCTTACCAAGCATATCTCAACTTTAGTCTAGAAATTATTGACAGAAAAAAAAAATTACAATAGTTATTGTGTATTCACGATATCAACTTTAGTTTAAAAATTATCGAGAAATTAAAATACAGTGTTACTGTTGAATCATGACCAATAATTTGTTCAACGATTTGCATAATATGGGCATGAAGGAATAGGTTGAATAACTACCAATAATTTGTATAATATGACATGAAGGGATAGGTTAGTTAGAAATCAATAAATGAGAATGTTAAAATAAAATACAATATTAACTATATATATATAGAAGCTTCTTAGGTATCTACACAAAATATATTTATCAGAAAGATTATAAATAAACATCTAAAGAAATGGCTCTAAAAATATCCTACATTTAGTATTATTCTTTAATCATAGAATTAAATTTGTAAAAAAAAAAGTATTTAGAAGTACGTGTAAATTTCAAGAGGAGCTTCGGAAAATCTATTTACTTAGGTTAAAAGGATCTTCCACTGTGAGTGAAGTGTGATGGAACATTATTTTAAAGAGTGTCTACTGTATACTTTCCTAATAATAAAGATGATTTTTTCAAGAGTCAAACTAGCTTAGCTTGCTTTGGGGGAGTTTCTAAAGATCACAACAGTTCGTAGTTTTCAAAAATTCTGTACAATTATGAGACGTTTCTTAAAAGATAAAAATGAGAGAAATAAGAATAGATAATATCAAAACACCTATATTTCTAAAAAATTGACCCTTAAAATAGAGTTTAAACAAATAACAACGTTAAGAAATGATATGGTCAAATATAAATAATACAAGTATCTAAACTTTAAAAATCTGTGTTTTATTTTATGCGAATTATTTAATGGTACAAATTTATTGATTTTAGAATGTGTAAACTCGACAGAAACTACCTTTGGATTTATTTATCACACACGAAGTGAATTTTGAAGACATCAACAAAAGCTTTAAATTTGGCAAGTCAAAGGCAATGCCTTAGGTATGTAATTTGGATGGCCAAATGAAGCAACCTCTTGCCTASCCCTTGTTACTCCTCAAACAACCTTTCACTTTTACAAAGCTTCATTTATAGTACTAAAGTTAAAGTTAGAACGTGTTTCGTCCCTATTTGTTTCCTTCGATTATAAATTTCGTTTGGTGAMATCTATCCAACTTTTTAAAATKTTAAAGTTTCAATTATGTTCCGGRGTGTTTTTAACTTTAATTTAATTAAGTTTAAACTTATCTTTAATGTTAACTTGATATATTTTTTGAACTAACAGATTGATAATTCTATTTGAAGTAAAGAAATATTTAGCTCAATAAATAAATGTACTTCGATCAATCAAAAACTTCTATGAAGAAAGCAATGGAAATAGAATATGTTTTAAAGAGGAAAAAGAATCCAAACTTACCCCTAAACTCGGAAGTTAATGAATTTTAACTAGGAACCATTATTGTTAACGGGGTTTCAAAAGAAAACATAAAAAAAATAAAAATAGAAGGTGTTAGACCGGAGAAATTATCGTGGACTAAATACAATTTGTATTGATATTTCAGAGTTGGTACAATCTCTATATCCTCTGATTCTTTCCCTTGAATTCTTGACTTGTTGATCTGGATCGGCCTCTTGACTGCGGCAGCTTGTTCTGGATTGGCCGTCAAGGTTGGCCTCTTGGTGGCATGTTCTGGATCAGCTGTTAAGGTTGGCCTCTTGACGGCTTGTCGATCTGGATCGGCTTGGATCGGCCTTGGCGGTTTGTCGATTTGGATCGGCCTCTAGCATGATGATCGATGATCTTTGGCTTCTACCTGATCTCCAGAATGGTGGATTTTAATCGTTCTCGATTCTATGGATGATGGATGATTTGATTTTGATACACTGCAGAGGATGAAGATTTTGATAGTGATTGAACCCCATAGAATTGCCTTAAGTGGGCTTAGACCCATCTGACATTGCCACGTGACATAATCGAATTGGGTCTCATCAAACAGATGTGAATTTTGATTCCACCAATTTATGTCATGTGCACAATCTTATTAGACCAACATGTCATAACATAATCTGACTGGTCAAATTCAAAGCCAAAAAATAACATGTGACGTTATTTAATTGGCCTCAATTTAATGACATATAATTTTGTCATCGACAAATTTGTGATTTGTCGAAATTTATTAATTAATAGGTTCTATCGGCTCCCTCTTGATCAACTCAAAATTTGTTTCTAGATTTTCAAAAGGAATTGGATTTATTTTCTAGAGAAATATAATTTTCCAAGTTAATTTTAAAAATAAATGGTTGTTTAAACTAACTTCAGAAATGTGTTTTTTTCTTCCTTTGAACAAACTTCATAAATGTTTGAGAAATTATTTAACACAATATGATTGAGCTAAATATTCAAGAAATAAGCTGGTTTAAAAAAGATAAATTACTACAAAAATTAATTTTATTTTGGAAACTTTTTCGACATCACGAAAATTGTCTATAGAACAATAGCAACTGTGGATAAAATTAAGGTTACGTCTGGTCCTTCACATCATTTTTTGATACTAACAAATTGAGGGGTATGCTGATGCTTTTAAGATCGGCTCTTCAACAATCTCAGAGATCCCTCGACAATTATCATGATTGGTCCAATAGAATCACGGAGGATCGTTTTCAAACCAATTGTGCTACTACTAATTGAGGCATCTAAGTTCAGTTTGTAAGTATTATGATATGGGCTTTCCGCTTGATTTCAAATGTATTTTTTAAGCAATATTATTTCATAAAAAATCCTCAGAAACATAGAATAATGATCATTCCAATTTCCAACTCCCAACTCCCATGTTGATAGTTTGAGAGAGAAAGAGTAGTGAAGGGGCAAATTGGGAA